TCCTGGAGCTTCAGTTCAAACTATGACCGCAGCTACAGTAAGGGGCTGGAGAAGGGGCTGCCCAGCCCCATCCTCTACGTGGCAGAGAAGTTCACCTCGCAGAGCCCCTGCGCCGTGCACAGGCAGTACCGCATCTCCGGCCACTACGCCTCAGCCACGCTCTGGTGAGCCTTCCTCTGCTGGTGCAGGCACAGGAGATGCAGGGATGTAGGAAGGGCTCTGAAGCTTTTTCCCTAGACCTCTGAGATGGATGGGATTGCATCCTGTTAGTAGGAATGCTGTGTGCATGGAGAGGCCCCTGCAAGGCCTGCAGTCAAACTGGTTGCCCTGTAGGCACTTTAGAGTGAGCAGAGAGGAGGTCCTGGTTCTCTCTGCTGGCCAAATCCACCAGGGTTCAGCACAGGAGAGAGGGACATGGTGCAGGTCCTTGCTGTGTTGTAGTAGTTATGGCAGAGGTCCATGGATGGAGTTAGTGGCTCAGAGAGGGCCACAGACACAAGAACTCTTCCAACTGCTCACTGCTCACTTGGGATGAGGGAAAGCTGGCCCACAGCTGTCAGGATGTGGTCCCTTCCACCATGGCTTGTGGAGGTCAAGGACCATTGCAGTGCTGTTCTCCCTGCTCTGTGTTTGACAGCAGGGATGCAGAAGCTAAGAAAGTGGCCTGGTGATGCTATGGAGCAAAAGCTCCTGGCCCATAACTGAGGACTTCCCCTGTCACCCAGCTCCTCAGCCAAATGCAGAGCTGCTGCCAATGACTTTTGCCTGCTTCTGCGTTTATCTCAGTCCTCTGTGTGGCTCTCTGGCCCCACATGTGGAAGAGCAGGGAGCTGAGATGGTCCAGATACACCAAATGGGCTGCCACAGCCTCCTTCAGGCTGGTACTGTCTGTGGGCTGAGCAATGCAAAGAGAAAATACATGTTTCTGCCTTCTGGGTGTAGCAGTATGAGCTCTGCACATCTGTTTGCTCAGCCTGGGGATGAGGGATCACTCCTGCCTGCCCACAGAGCTTCTCCACCTTGTACAATACACCCTGGAGCCCAGATTCTCTTCCCACATGGAAATCCTCACATAGAGCACTCTAGTCTGTGGCACTCACACGACTCATGTGTTGATCTCCCCTTGTCTCCAGGGTGGCCTTTTGCACGTGGATTATCTCCAACATTCTCTTCTCCATGCCTGCCCTTGTTTATGGAGGCTACATGCTTCTGGTCACAGGGGCCTTCATGACCTTTTCGCTGCTCTCGTTCTCCACTGTGAGGAACTCCCCTATGTGCCTGATCCAGATTGGGACTGCAACCCTGCATGTAGTCTATGGGGGATCCTTCTGGCTCACCCTAGTGATTGGTAAGGACACCACGGTGCCCCAGGGCACACCACCTTGTCCCTCTGGGTGTGAAAGAGTCCCAGTGTTTTCATCCCAGCTGGGAAGTGCAGTCCCCTGAAGCCCCAGCGTGTGCCTTGGCCAAGCAGATCCTGGCCAGAGGTGTGGACAGGAGTGGCAAAAGGGGGAGTACCATCCCCATCTCAAGGGCAGGGAAGGGACTTTAGTTCCTGAGATGCAAAGAGATGGGGATCACTTGCCTAGGTTTTGAGATACTCAGCGTAGCTGAAGCCACCTCGTACAGTGGAAGGTCATCTTCCATAAGCAAAGGCATTGTCCCCTGGCAGGGGACCCTCAGAGAAGGGCTGTGGGCTGGGAACTGCGCTGGTGTGTACAGGGACACTCCCAGAGAGCATGTTTGTTTCCAGGCTTGCTCTGTTTTGTGGCTGGGATCACCGTTGTGGCACTGCACCACCTCAACTTGGACATGCTGAAAACCTTCTTTGATCTCCGCGAGGACAAAGCTGAGGAGCACCAGGAAATGGCTGAAGTGTATGTCAACTCCTATTTTGCGAACAAGGCACTGGCTCCTCCTCAGCCCTCCGAAACCAACAGCCTCTAGAAGAAAGTTTTCCCCACTTCTTCCCTGAAGGTGAGCCCGAAAGGGCAGAACACAAACCCTTCTGGATGTCCCCACAGGTGCATTACCCTGTTCAATTGCCTTTGAAGTCCACATTCAGACAGGTCCGTGCTGGGAAGTACCTGCACAGACTATCTCCCTGACAGTGCCCTCTGGAAAAGGGCAGGCTTTGCTGGCAAGCTGTAATCAGAGCAGCTCACAGCTCTAGAGGTTTGAGCTGCACTCACCTGGGAGTCTCTGTGCCGGGAGAAAATCCCTTCCTGCTCCATGCCCTGGCACAGTGTGGAGCAGAAATCTGCAACGGCTGGTTTCCACTGAAACTGAAAATCTGAGCTGACAGGTGACATTCCTCATGGGGAGCACCCACAACACCCACGACTCCAGGGATTAAACTTGCTCCTTTCTTCCCCAAGCACTGACATTTAGTGTAGAACTTTGGGTGAAGCCAGGAAAACCAGGCCCAGATCCAGGCTCCACGGGCTGGATGTTGCAGGAGCTGGAATAAAAAAACTGGTCCAGTAATAATGACTGAGTAAATGTACAATGGAGTTTGCTGGGGAAAATGTGATGGTGGGATTATTTTCACTTTCAGACTTGGGCTTTATTAGGCAAGACTTGTAGTCAGGTGTGGGCCAAAAAGATGCCTAAGGAAAGGAGGGAGAGGGAAGAATGAAGTTACCCCTATCCAGCTGGAGCACACCTGGGCTGTCTGGGCAGCAGGACAGGGGGAGATTCTGCCCCTCTGCCTCGCTCAGGTGAGACCCCACTGGCAGAGCTGCCTCCAGCTCTGGAACCTAACATCAGAAGAACATGGAGCTGCTGGAACCAGGCCAGAGGAGGCCCCGGAGATGCTGTGAGGGTTGTTAAGACCCTTGCTGTTAAGTTACTTATTTCTGTCACACGATATTTGTGTTGCACTAATGTGATTTGTTATGTACGAGAATTATTTTCAATAAAACTTTATTAAAACCCTCTCATTTGAAACACTGTGGGCATTTGGGGGCTGGTTTCTTAAAACGTGGTGGTGGGGCACATCTGAAGGTGACTTCTGGAGAGCCCCCAGCAGCAGCAGCAGCCTTCCCACGGAGAGGATACCCCAAAGAAAGGACAAGTCTGGCTGGCACATTTCAAGGTAAGCCACTGAGAAACCTTTGTCCTGAGGAGCAGCATGTTGTGAAGGTGTAGGAGAACCTCAAAAGGATTTTAACTAGCTGAGTGGTGGGACAAAAGCCAAAAGATTAAACCAACAACACTCCCTTAGACAAAGGAGGATTCTTTCTTGAGAATTTCTTGCATCCAAACATGTCAAGCATGAAGGCATCGATGGGAAGATGCTACAGCCAACCACAAATTGCTGGGGCTGGTGTGGGATAGATCCCGTGACTGTAAGCACAGGAGGCTGAGGGGTTTCCCATCCTTTCTACCACTGCATCTGGCTCTCTCCAACCTTAATCTCCTGCTTTTGGACATGATTCCTGCTCAAGAGCATCCTCACCAGAAGGAAGAGTTTGTGCTGTTGTATCAGACATACAAGGGTATGAGAGGAGAGATCTATGAGGGCTGAATTTCTATTGAATAAATTAAAGGGGTTTGTTGTGCCTTGGATCTAGTCCATCCGTAGGCTGAAGCATCTCCTGGTAGAAACCATTGTGAACATCCTGCCTGAGGTCTCCCAAGCCTAAGGAGTTCAACTCCAAACAGTTTTGAGTTCTCTTGGTTCTCATTGAAGGCTCTTCCATCCGGAGTGGGATGTGTCATGGTTGAGCACCTCCTCCCCAGAGGTCCTGTCCCATGATGATACCTCTGCAAACTCCTCTGCTGGGCTAGAGATCACTCCCATCAAATCTTCCACATGCCTGGGGGCACTCCAGGAGCTAAAGTCCCTCCATATCCCCCCTGCTTGTTTGCCTGGGGATGTCCTGATACCCTATTTAGGGCATATTGATTGGACTTTATTGCCCTGAACCAACTGTCTGTAGTCTGATGTCCCATACAGGACCACTAAAGGGCTCTGCCTTTTCCTTCTCCCCTCCCTGTGGCTGCCTTCAGCCTTCAGAGGGCCACCTCTATCAACAGACAATTGAAAGGCCAGGTCCAACTTATTTTATTGAGATACAGGGAAAATAAGTGAGCACAAAAGAGAAAAAAAAGAAGTTGTAAAATCCGCACAGGGGAAAAGGGGTGCAAACCTACCGTGTGTTCCCTCCCTCACTGTGTGGGCAAGGTGCCAGCAGCCAGGACTGGGTGGCTGCATCCACCTTGGGTGTGCAGAATTCCAGTGTCTCATGCCCCATGACGTGAGTGTTTCCACAGCTGAGCAGCAGGAACACAAGCCTCCCAGACCAGAGGTGCTGCTCCCCTGTCGCTGGTTGGTCACGGCTGATCTCCAAGGCACTGTAGCACCTCTGTTCCCACCTTCTCCTCTCCCTCCCTCCCACCTGATCTGGGACCTCCAGCATCCTGCTAAATCATGGTCCTCCTTGCCATCCTGACCTTCACCCCAAGAGGAGATGCTGGATACAAGGCACCCTGGTGAGCACAGCTCCACCTGTACTTCCTGACCGCTGACGGGAAGAGCATCCCTGGGCAGATGGAGTTTCTTGGGGGCCTTCAGGGTGGGGGTGCTGTTGCAGGGGCTCTACTTCTCCTTTGGTTCGTATCAGTGAGTCTGCAGTTACTTGGTTTCTCCCCAGTTTGTTCTGTTTTGATCTCTGTACCCTGGGGAGGACTCAGGCTTTGTTTGGATGGACTACGGGGAAGAGCAGTAGCCCAGTGCCTGGAACTGGACAGCCAAGGTTGGGGCATGGATTCTCCTCATGACTAAATTTCTTCCAGCTGCTGCTGAGTAAAACAACAGAGAAAAAAAAAAAAGAAAAAGAAAAAGAAAAGGACAAACTCTTCTATTTGAGATATCTTTCCAGATTTGGACGTTCTCATCACACGGCACTTGTCGTGTCTCTTCCCACGTGGGCTCCTGCTGGATTTGGCAAATTCAGGAGCAGTGTCCTCAGGCCTTGCCCTGCCTCCCCCGTGGTTCACAGCTGGGTGGCTGTCACCTCGGAGAGCTCGGCTGGTGGGACCATCCACACGTCCTGCAGGGAGCAGCTGGGCTCGGCCAGCAGGCAGGGCTTGTCCCACACCTCGTCTGCTCCCTTTTTCTTGTCGAGGTTGAAGATGAGCTTCAGCTTCTCCGGCTCCATGGAGTTCAGGATGATGATGCCCAAACCCAGCAGCAGGCACAGCAGCCCTGCCATGCACAGCACAGGGACACATTAACACTTCCTCCCAGTGTGTCCCAGCTCCATCCAGCTCCAGATGGAGGATGGTGACATGTGGCATCACCTGGTAGGTCTAGAGGTGTTATTTCCCTTTCCACATCTGGATTCTGACATCGGTTTGGGCTCTCCAGTAAAAAAAGGGGGGGTCAATGAATTGGGGCAGAGAGTTAGGGCTGGAGCTGGGGAAAGCCTGGAGGAGCTGGGCTTGTTTAGCCTGAAAAAGAGGAGTGTCCAGGGGAACTTAGTTGCCAGCTGTCCTTGGAGGTGTTGTAACATGGGAAATTCTGATTTGATGAAAGGAAATAATTGTTCCCCATGAGTGGGACTGCTGTGGGGCAGGTTCTGAAAGCAGAGGGAATCTCTGTCTGTGGGGACATCCACCACCAGACTGAATAAGGCTGATGTGGCTTTGAGGTTATCCCTATTCTGGGAGAGGGACCCCTGAGGGTCCTTCCAGGCCAGGTCTTTCCCTGACTCTGCAATTCCTGACTGTCACGCTCTCCTCTGTGCACACCTCCAGCAGATAACTTCAGCCATTCATATCTCTTGACTGCTCATCTCTTTTTCCCCCCAACCTTGGGGGGAAAAAAATCTTTTATGCCCTTAAAAAAAAGAAAAAAGTAATTTTCTGTGACCAGCCATGCAGACAGAAGGGGTGAAGTCCTGTTGAGACATCACTGAACATCATGTCTGCAGGGATGGAGAAGAAAAGCCCCTGGAGCAAGCTGAGCACTCACCTGTCACTAATGTCAGCCAGAAGGATTCACCATAGTCTGTTTTCAAGGAAACTGGGCCAAACTGGATGGGGCACTTGCAGGTGTTCCTCGCAGTGAAGAAGAAGAGCAGTGAGAAGAGGATCAGTGCGGCAGTGAGCAAAAGCATGTAACCACCATGGAGAAGGATGGACATGGAGAATAGCAAGATGGAAATGAGCCACGTGCAGAAGGCCAACCTGTGAAAGGACCATAAAAACAAGTAGGAAGCATCCTGGGATAAATGTCTGGAGAATCCACTCAGGGTCTCCACTTCCCAATGGAGGGACACAGCCCCGGGCAACCTGCTCTAGCTGGCCTTGCTTCGGCAGGTGGGCTGGACAGGCTGATCAGAGGACATCCCTTACAACCTAAGCAATTCTGTAACTACATGAGTGGTGGAGCTGTGGGACAGGTCCAGCAGTGGTGGAGTGGGATCTCTACACCTGGGAACATTCAGTGTTGAATTTCGCAAAGCCCCAAGCACCTTGATATGGCTTTGACATCAGCTCTGCTCTGGGTGTGGGACTGGAGCAGAAATCTCTGGACGTCCCTCCAAATTAACTTTTTTTTCTGATTCTTGTGATCATCCACAACTGGCCACCCCCAGGCAGTTCTTACCTGTTCAGAGGGACAGTGGCACCAAAGGACATCTTTGTTTGGAGAACTGCACCTTAAGCCATACCCACAGCTGATTCAGCACCTGGAGTGAACCCAGCTGCCACCTCTGCCCTGTGTGTGAGGTTTGGGTTTAACCCACTGGGGAGCTGAGCCTAACAGCTCAGTTTTTCTTATTCCAAGAATAATAATGAAAAACAAATTTTCATCAGCATTCCTTCCTTGAAATACTCCTCCTCAATAACAGGAATGTTTGGGCAGGGATATTTATTCTTCCTGAAAATAAAGACAGAGACCTGGAGCCCTTCCCCATAGGGAGAATTGCAAGGCTCACTCTTTCCCACCACCTCTGAGACACATGGGGGTGCTCCGAGACTCCACAATCACAAAACACACAAGGGCTCTCAGCTTTGCACCACAAGACAGCCTCTGAGCACCCTCATGATGGTCCCTCCTGCTTCCCACAGGTGGGTCTCGTGCCCTCTTGGGCATGCAAGAGGAAGCCCTTCACAGCTGGTCTTACTGGGGCTCCTTATCTTAGTCCTTGGGAGAGGATCCTGAACTATAAGCCTCACAGCTGCATCTGTTTTCCCTTAAATGAAGAATAATTTTTCTCTGGCCATAATTTTGTACATCAGGACAGAGGACACAGAGAAGGACTCCAGACAGATGGGTAAAAGCTGCCCCTCTGCTCTGGAACCGGGATGGGAGAGATGGGGGTATTCAGCTGGAGAAGACAAGGCTCTAGGGAGACCTTAGAATCCCTTCCAGTGTCTAAAGGGGCTCCAAGAGAGCTGGAGAGGGAATTTGGACAAGGGATGGAGGGACAGGACAAGTAGGAATGGCTTCCCACTGTCAGAGGGCAGGGTTAGATGAGATATTGGGAGGCAATTGTTGGATGTGAGGGTGGTGAAGCCCTGGCAGAGATTGTCCAGAGAAGCTGTGACTTCCTTGTCCCTGGAAGTGTTGAAGGCCAGGTTGGATGAGGCTTGGAGCAACCTGGTCTAGTGGAAGGTGTCCCTGTCCATGGCAGGAGGTGGAATGAAATGAGCTTTAGGATCCCTTCCAGCCCAACATTTCTGTGATTCTATGATTCTATTGTTCTATGATTCTATGGCAGGCCAGGAAGCATGAGCATCCCTGATCCTGCTGAAAGCCAAGGATTTGGCATGGCCTTACAAGGAAGAGGGTGGCTCCATCAGATTCCCTTTGCTCTGCCTGGTTCTTTCCAGAGCAGAGACAGGGCTGACTTCTCTGTCTCTAACTCACCAGAGCGTGGCCGAGGCGTAGTGGCCGGAGATGCGGTACTGCCTGTGCACGGCGCAGGGGCTCTGCGAGGTGAACTTCTCTGCCACGTAGAGGATGGGGCTGGGCAGCCCCTTCTCCAGCCCCTTACTGTAGCTGCGGTCATAGTTTGAATCGAAGCTCCAGGGAAAGTACTCATTGTAGTTGATGGTCTCATTGATCTGCTTCACTGGGTTTCCTGCCAGGTGATGAAGACCAAGAAGCCTTGGAGGCAGCTCCAAGACTTGCTGTTGTGGGGGCTGCAGGGCCCACAGCCCCAGTATCTCTGTATATGGCTGCCAAACTTGCCCCCAGTCCCCTCCTGCTGTGATGTGCACTCACCCTTGAGTGTGATGTTCACCCCCTCCAGGCCGATGTGCAGCCCAATGTCCACATTCACCACGGCACGGCTGAAGGACTTGTAGGAGGTGTTTGCCTGCACGCAGCCAGTCTCCCAGTCCCTGGTGAACTGTGTGGCTGTGAAGACTTCAGAGGTTAGTTATGGCCTGGCAGCAAGACATCTAGTACTGGAAGCACCTGCCTGGTCACCATGGCCTGGGCATCACCTGCCTCATCCCAAGGGCAAGGACTGGGTTGTGAGCCACAAGGAGGAAAAGTCCTGTGTGTCCTTCCCCAGTATCAACCCTGACTCATATTGGGTTGGTTTCTCCCCAGCCCCAGTGCAGTCCCTAACCCTTCAGGCTCATGTGTCAGCACTGTCTGGGCACTGGTCCTCATCTAAGCACCTTCCAATTTGTCTGCCTGGAACTTGGTGGTGAGATTTTGGTGACTGCCTTGGATATGACCACCAGCCTTCAGAGAGGAGACTTGCACCTTCTCCCAGGTGCTGGAGCCAGGTCCCAGACACAAGATGGGTGTGGGTCTTCCCCATGAACTCATCCTACAGGCTAGACTTGGTGCTTGGCTGCTCTGTTCATGCTCCCTCACTTTTCTCCTCCATGCCTTGGGCATCCTTGATCTTCCCCCCCAGAACCCCAGTACTCACTGAGGACCACTGCTCCCACGAAGAGTCCCGTCACCAGCCGCAGGAGCCAGAAGAGTCGCTGCCAGGGGTGAGCAGAGCAAGGGGACAGATCTCAGTCAGATTTTGCCATGGGGACCTCAGCACCAAGCATGTAATTTAGAAACACCAGATGGTGAGGAACAGGACCATCCCTCCCCTGGGGAGTCACATCATGTGCTTTGTAGGCAGGTGGCATGTGGGGCACATGTGGCTGGTGGCACCCACCACAACCCTGTTGTGATGGCGGGGAGGCAGCAGGGAGATCCAGACAGAGCCACGAAGGTCAAAATAGTCCTTTGGGGAAAGCTGTGACATCCCTTTTCTGGGAAGGAGCATGGAGGCACTCCCTTAAATAGTCTTGAGCTGGAATTTCCACACTTGTGGATGTGTTGGCAGCTGGCCACAGCTGGATGAGGAAATAGTGATTGGGCATTTGTAGTGTGTCCCCTGTGGGACAGAAGACCCTCAGCCAGTCCTACTGTAAAGCCAAGCACACAACAAGCACGTGGATTGCAGTGGGGTCTGTAGGCCACACAGAGCCCAGTGAGCAGTGCTGGGACATGCCCAGTGCACACCTCTTTCTTTTATTGAGGTTTCAGGGAAGGTGGAGTGAGATTTTTGAGCCTCACCCTGCTTTTCTACTCCTGTGAAATCACTTGGCCTTGCTCATAGAGAAATCAAGCCAAGCTCAAATCTAGCTGCCTCAGAAATTTGGGTGGTGGAGTGGTGTCTGTAGCATGGGGGCCATGCTGGGATGGGCTGGTGCTCACCCCTCTGGCTTGCTAGAAATCCCAGAGCCTTGCCCATGAACTGTGGGCAGGTTTGCTCCCCAAAGCTCTTTTCAAGGCTGAGAAGGAGGAGGAATGTTGGATATATAGTTCAGAGATCAGAGGTCTGTACTTCCCGTGCTTCTCCACTTACCCCCCTGCCTCTGATTCCTGGCAGGATGATGATGAAAGTGGCCAACATGGAGAGGAAGATGGTGATGATGACAGCCCGGGTGGTGTCAAAGGGGAAACGGGCATTGGCACCGGGGTAGAAGGGGTAGGAGCCATTCCACAGTGTCATCCTCCTGCCTGGGAGGGCTGGAAATTGACACCAGAGAGACAGCAGAGCAAAAATCACCTCCACAGTTCCACCACACCCAACCTTCTCCACAGAACCATCTCCTGCCCCCCTGCCAGTGCTCTTCTTGTCCCAGGCATGGCTGTGTGTGCATCCCCAATGCCTGGGATACTGCAGCCCCACACAGGCCATACTCAGGCATCTCCCACAGGAGCCCTCCATCTCCTCGGGGTACATCCCAGAGCAAAGCTGGGTTGGAGTCATGATGCACCAGGGTGTCTGCTGCAATCCTCAGGTTGTCCCCAGTGTGGGACAGCAAGACATGCAAACACCACTGGGCCACTCACTCCTCTCTTCTGCCAGTTCTCCGTCCCTGCAGTCTTCCCCATGCTCCTCCCTCCCTAGTTCAGTCCTTTATCCTGCAGCCTGGCTCCCGTTCGAGGTTGCTGTGCTCCGGGCTCTGGTGAATCACAGCACAAACACGGGCTGCGCCTCATCGAGCTGCTCCTCGCTGAGCCCCGACGGACTTAACTCCTCATCATCCAAGGGAACAGGAATAACCCGGAAGGGACAGAGAAGCTGCCCGTCCCTAGCAGCAAGGTGCCTGTCCCAGGAGCCAGCTGGAGGGAACGGTGGGCAGAGAGATGCTGCTTGGGAAGCCAGATTTTTTTGCCACGGCCCTTGACCAACTCACTTTCCCGTTAGGAAAGGGCTGCTCAGCATCCCTCGGGAATGGGGACCATTCCAGCAGTGGCTGCAGGAACACCCACACCCCTTTCCCCATGCCGAACCTACCTCTACCGCGGCCGATCCCGAGGGATGGGTGCTGTGCAGAGCTCCGCTGTGCTCCGGGATGTTGCCTCGGGATGCTGCCTCCCCGCCCGGCGTGGAATCACGGCTGTGTTTCTCCCGGTGTTTTTAGAGTGCCCGCCTCCAAAGGCGGCTGGATTATCCAGCCTTGCCCACAGCGGATCGGCCCCCTCCGGCGCTCCTGCTGAGCCCAGGGTAGGCAAGGCTGGCACAGTACTGGGAGAGGTTTGCCATCTTTTCCTTTACTTTTCCTGCAGAGCGGTGAAAAGTTCAGCTGTTCCTTATGGCACGAAGACCCTGGGGCTCCCAGGCTCCTCGGGAGCCTGCTGCGAGAGAGCAGAGGGCTCAAAGCCCTCAGCTGCACTGCCCGGTGAAACATTCCAGCTGAGATCACCTGGCACAGCTTGTGGCTGCACAGCCTCCTGCTTGACCCTGCTCCTGACTCCATCCACCGGGACAAATTTCTTGGGAAGGTCCTGGTTGACCTGTCAATCCCTGGGCAAGGTGACAGTGACTGGCAAGGGGGATCATCAGAGACCCACAGGTCTAGAGGTGATCCCAGCCTTGTTATGCAGAAGATGCTCAAGTTACTAACTTGGCCACAGTGTGGAGATCGTGGAAATTCAAGCTTTTGGGGTTTGCTCTTGTTCTGTGGCAGTTTGGTTGGCTGCAGCAGGTTGCATTGGTGCCAAGAAGGACCAGTGTGGCAGAAACACTTTCCTGATCCATGTTTGGGGACTTGTCTCCAAAACTGGCACAGTTACAGCCATCCCCTGGATTTTCTTTCTGCATCCCTGTGGATGGGCTGGCTCGGTGCCCTGGAGAGCTGAGCTTCCAACCCCCTTTGCAGAGGGATATAAAAATGAGTTTTCACTCATGCCCAGCAGTAAATAAAGGCATTTTTGGGCAAAGACTTTGACATTTCCCCTCAAGTGCCAAACTGGTGCTACTCAGTCTGAACACTGAATCCCACCACAGAGGTGGTTTAAAAAAAGTAAAGGGTGGCAAGGGTGCCATGGCTGAGGAATGTGTGTGCAGAGATGTGCTGGGGATATGGCACCAGCTCTGACTCTGAGAGCCTCTGCAGAGCAGAAGGAGATGTGGACTTCACCACAAAAAACGCAGATCCTCAGGGGTGTTCTCACAAACACAGAGGCTTTGGACTGCTTGGAAACGAGGAAATACCTCTCCCTCCAGCATGGGAGAGGGATAACTGAGGCAGTCACTGGTAATTAGCAGGCTGAGATTAATCTAGATGTAGAAGATGCAACCATGTGAGGTGGTATGTGGGATGAGTGCTTAGACCATCCATCCCTCATTGAACTCCCTGGAGGTGGAAGAGGCAGCAGTGGGATGACCCCTGCACTGGCTTTGTTAAACCAATGTGTGGAGTTTGCCTGGGGAAAAGATGGAGGTGCAGTGTTTTGGGCTGTTCAGATGAGCATCACAAATGTCTTTTAGGGAGATGCCCTCTTGCCAAAGATGAAAGGGAGGGGGAGGGAGTTCCCTTCCTCCTCCAAAGGAGGTGCCCTGCAACACAGGGTTTGTGCACAAGGACATTGGGAAACTCACAGGGGTGCTCTGGTTCCCTCATCTGTCCCCAGCAGTGATGGAAGTGGGGTGGGATGGTGGCACCCCTTCCCTGGGGGGCTGATAAGGCCATGGACTGGCAAGTGTGGAAAAGTTGCTGGATTTACCCCTCACCCAGCACCTCTGCATCTAAGAGAAGCTCCTACAGAAAGCTTGAGACCATTATTATAACTGGGGTTGGGGGAGTTTCCCCCTTTTTTAAAATCTTCTGGGTATTTCTGCAGGTGGTAAAGCTTCATCCCAGTTTCCAGGGAATACGTCTGGGTGCTGCTCACCAGCAGCTCACAGCCTCCTGCTCAGGGCACTGCTCCCACCTCAGCACCCTGCCCTCTTCCCTGGGCAGCCTCTGCTTCACACCCTTGGGAGTGATGGATCCCCTGATTAGGGATGAGTCACCCGATCCAGGTCACCTGCGGGAGGTGGGGGCGAGGGGAGCAGCACCCGGCATCTCTTGCACAAGCAGCTGAAAAGTGTTGGATCAGCCACCTCTGACAGTGCTGGGAATTGAGGTGGGGAAGGCGTGGGGACATGCCTGGGCAGGGAGGTGATTTTTGGGATTGAGCAGGAAGATTTCTGCCTGACCCACTGAAGCCAGTAGGACAGATGTGGTGCTTGTGCCCAGGTCACCCTGCCCCACTGGCTGTCCCCATCACCCCTCTGTCCTGTTCCCTGACACGGGGAATGCCGCAGCGGGAGTTGAGCTGGGGCTTTTTTGTGATGGAGCCCATCCTGTGTCCCATCCTGATGCTTGAATCCTTGCCCAGGAATCTTTGCCAAAGCTGAATGATTCATGATGGAGTAGCTTGAAAGGAAGAACTCTCAGAGTGACTCTCTCTGATCAGTTCCACCTTGGTGAGCAGAGAGGTTTATGGTGCTGTGGCTGTGCTGGTTTGGCTATGGATATATTGGCAAGAAGGATCTATTTTTCCAGCTCTGTAAGTTAGTTAAACATTTTGAGCAAAGGGGAAGATGTTGCTGCCCACTACACTGACCAATAGGTTTTGTATCTTATGATGGAGACAAGTCAGGGTCAACTGAAAGGGCTGCCAGGAGACGGAGGCAGAGCTCTGCAGGAGCCACATGTCATCCCAGTGGGAACTGAAACAAGAGGGGTTTCAGCCACACTTTGAGGAAATACTTGTCTAGAAATTGTGTTGAGTGTTCAGCCCACTGCCCTTTCCAAGAGCCATCAAGCAAGAGAAGAACAAGTCTCTGGATGTGGCCTGGACCTTCTGAAGCATGCTCCAGGAAGATCATCTTACATGGGGGCTGCTTGAGAGTCTCTGCTCCCAGACCCAAAAGGAATTTCAGCTCCTGCCAGGGCTGTTGTGGGTTTCCATGTGCTGTCAGAGACCCAGGGGATACAAACCCAGCTGTCCCATTGCCTTTCCAAATATCTCTATCTTGCCCTGAGACTCCATATCTGATCCTGTGGGCTCTAAGACCTGTGCCTGGGTGGGGAAGGGGGCACCCCCATGTGGGAATGGGGCTGTTCTCTCTTCCTTCCCTTGCCCCTTGCTGGGATTGCCCAGCTTGGATGAGGGGCTGCAGGTCCAGCCCCTCTCTCCTGTCCATAGACCCGAAGTGTGCCTTCCATGCTACCCTAATCCCAACTCTGCAACAGCTGCAGGAGCAGATGGATATGGGGAAGGAGCATGAGAAAGTCTAAGCAGGTACCCTGATGCCCTGGGAGAATGGAGGAGAGGGAGAAGACATCACCTCCCATCTTGCATCTGTGTTACAGATGTTGCCTCCCCACTAAAGAGCAAATGGGTTTGCCAGTTCCCAAACTGCCTCTCCAGCCTCATCCCTGAGGGATCCCTCACCTGACAGAGCTCTTCTGCCCCGGCATGAGTGTCAGGAAGTGTATTAGTCTTTGGAATGCAACTCAGTAGGGATTTTACTGTCCCAGCCTGGGGAACCCTGTCTCCACAGATAACAGCCATTCCTGCCAGTTTGATGCAGCTATCAGCAAGTTGAACTTCTCTGGGCTTTGCTGGGGCTTGTTAATGATGCACTGGGTGGTAATTAGCACTTTCATCCCTGGCTGCAGCTTAGAGAGTAGCTTTCTCCTTAATCCCTGGCATCAGAGGTCTAATTAACATGATATACATTTTTCCATGGAACTCCTGTGTCTCATGTCTCCCTGACAGCCTTGGAATCCCTCCTCTTGAATTTGGACCACCTCCTGCAAGGTGTGAGCTTGCAGATCATGGATCAGGAGGGTGAACATTGTGGTGGAAGATATCCAAGGCAGATCTGAGGTTGGCCAAGTCTCCCGTGCACGTTCTCTGACAGCTCTGGGTGCCACAAGGGCTTGTGGGTTGGTGTCCAGACCTGTCCCCACCCAGTGATTTTTTCCCACAAAGCATCACCTTGGGGTGGTGTCTTGCAGTTGGTGACAGTCCTGCTGTGAGCGAGGTTGAACTAGAGACCTTCAGAGGTCACCCAGTAGTATTTATACAAAGCTTGTGGCCCTGTTCCTCCCACCATAGTCGCACAGACCTCACAGCAGAACTGGCTCCCTAAAACCTTCCAGAGCCTGTGTTTCCCTTCCTTCCAGGGAAGGGACACATGGCAGGGAGCTGGGAAGCTGGCCTTTC